TGGTGAGTCTCAGTGATGGTGAGTCTCAGTGTTGGTGAGTCTCTGTGATGGTGAGTCTCTGTGGTGGTGAGTCTCAGCGGTGGTGAGTCTCAGCGGTGGTGAGTCTCAGTGGTGGTGAGTCTCAGTGGTGGTGAGTCTCAGTGTGGTGGTGAGTCTCAGTGGTGGCGAGTCTCAGTGATGGTGAGTCTCTGTGATGGTGAGTCTCAGTGATGGAGAGTCTCTGTGGTGGTGAGTCTCTGTGATGGTGAGTCTGAGTGGTGGTGAGTCTCAGTGGTGGTGAGTCTCAGTGGTGGTGAGTCTCAGTGGCGGTGAGTCTCTGTGGTGGTGAGTCTCAGTGGTGGTGAGTCTCAGTGGTGGTGAGTCTCAGTGGTGGGAGTCTCAGTGGTGGTGAGTCTCTGTGGTGGTGAGTCTCTGTGGTGGTGAGTCTCTGTGGTGGTGAGTCTCTGTGGTGGTGAGTCTCAGTGGTGGTGAGTCTCTGTGGTGGTGAGTCTCTGTGGTGGTGAGTCTCTGTGTGGTGAGTCTCAGTGGTGGTGAGTCTCGTGGTGGTGAGTCTCTGTGGTGTGAGTCTCAGTGGTGGTGAGTCTCAGTGGTGGTGAGTCTCTGTGGTGGTGAGTCTCAGTGGTGGTGAGTCTCAGTGGTGGTGAGTCTCAGTGGTGGTGAGTCTGTGGTGGTGAGTCTCTGTGGTGGTGAGTCTCTGTGTGGTGAGTCTCCGTGGTGGTGAGTCTCTGTGGTGGTGAGTCTCTGTGGTGGTGAGTCTCTGTGGTGGTGAGTCTCAGTGGTGGTGAGTCTCAGTGGTGGTGAGTCTCAGTGGTGGTGAGTCTCTGTGGTGGTGAGTCTCTGTGGTGGTGAGTCTCTGTGGTGGTGAGTCTCAGTGGTGGTGAGTCTCAGTGGTGGTGAGTCTCTGTGGTGGTGAGTCTCTGTGATGGTGAGTCTCAGTGGTGGTGAGTCTCTGTGGTGGTGAGTCTCTGTGGTGGTGAGTCTCAGTGGTGGTGAGTCTCAGTGGTGGTGAGTCTCTGTGGTGGTGAGTCTCAGTGGTGGTGAGTCTCAGTGGTGGTGAGTCTCAGTGGTGGTGAGTCTCAGTGGTGGTGAGTCTCAGTGGTGGTGAGTCTCTGTGGTGGTGAGTCTCTGTGATGGTGAGTCTCAGTGGTGGTGAGTCTCTGTGGTGGTGAGTCTCTGTGGTGGTGAGTCTCTGTGGTGGTGAGTCTCAGTGGTGGTGAGTCTCAGTGGTGGTGAGTCTCAGTGGTGGTGAGTCTCAGTGGTGGTGAGTCTCAGTGGTGGTGAGTCTCAGTGGTGGTGAGTCTCTGTGGTGGTGAGTCTCTGTGGTGGTGTCTCTGAGTGATGGTGAGTCTCTGTGGTGGTGAGTCTCTGTGGTGGTGTCTCTGTGATGGTGAGTCTCTGTGGTGGTGAGTCTCTGTGGTGGTGAGTCTCTGTGATGGTGAGTCTCTGTGGTGGTGAGTCTCAGTGGTGGTGAGTCTCAGTGGTGGTGAGTCTCAGTGGTGGTGAGTCTCAGTGATGGTGAGTCTCAGTGGTGTGAGTCTCTGTGGTGGTGAGTCTCAGTGGTGGTGAGTCTCAGTGGTGGTGAGTCTCAGTGGTGGTGAGTCTCAGTGGTGGTGAGTCTCAGTGATGGTGAGTCTCAGTGTTGGTGAGTCTCTGTGATGGTGAGTCTCTGTGGTGGTGAGTCTCAGCGGTGGTGAGTCTCAGCGGTGGTGAGTCTCAGTGGTGGTGAGTCTCAGTGGTGGTGAGTCTCAGTGGTGGTGAGTCTCAGTGGTGGCGAGTCTCAGTGATGGTGAGTCTCTGTGATGGTGAGTCTCTGTGGTGGTGAGTCTCTGTGATGGTGAGTCTGAGTGATGGTGAGTCTCTGTGATGGTGAGTCTCAGTGATGGTGAGTCTCTGAGGTGGTGAGTCTCTCTGTGATGAGTCTCGGTGATGGTGAGTCTCAGTGAGGGGTCTCGGTGATAGCCTCACGTTTTTTAGGAACTCCTCGGCCACTATGCGAGCGCGGGCGTTGACGGACAGCTTCATCTCGCTGATCTCTTTGTCGATCTCCTCCATGAAGTTGATGAGGAAGTCCACCAGCTTGTGCTTGTATCTGCTCCGTGTGGAAGTTGGTGATGAGGAAGCTGATGTCGTAGCCCTGCGCAGCGCCCACAAAAGCGGGGAGGGGGGGAAGACGCCGTTTTCGATGTAGCAGGTGTAAGTGTACACCGCACACGGCACATCGCACACGGCACAGCGTACAAGGCACACCGTACATCGCACATGGCACACCGTACAGCGTACAGCGCACAGCGTACAGGACACACCGTACAGCGCACAGCGTACAGCGCACATCGTCTACGTGACACTGCACATGCCACACGGCACACTGTGTCTCAGTGCTATAAAGGGGGGTAGAATTCCAGACCGGTTGATTGTCAACAAGTCTTCCAGACTACAGATGTTCCTGCATCTGTAGTCTGTCAACGAGTTTTTTTTTGCTTTAAAAAAATGGCAGCATTGATATAGGCCGATAGTTATTAGAAAATGACGATGGTCCAAGGTTTTGGTTCTTTAAGAAAATGGGGAAACGGATGCGAGTTTTCAAGTCATGGAGGAACTGCGGCTTGACTGTAAACGAGTACCGATTACGTGGGGGAGTCAACAGCGGTTGTCCGATACAGTCTCAGCCCCACCGTAGAAATGTGGAGTTTCCAGCACTGGTCTAGGGGCTTCATGCAGGATGCGAGCGCCGCGTAAGTGCTCGTCGGAGCAGCAAATTCGCTTCCAAGTCGGTCGCACACCACCACACGCGCCGTCGTGTGTGCACTCCGCCATAAACACAACACGCACAGCACTAACACTGTGTGACACCACGCACTACCAGCTCAATCTCTCACGAGCTGTAAATACAGACACACACACACACCCCTATGCCACAGGTGAATAGGTGAGACACGGGAATAAGGTTGAGGAATTAAGAGAAAAGGGTGACACAGGGGGGTGAAGTGTGACGACTAAAGTGAGGGCTAAGAGGTTAGGCAGGGAGGGTTAGAGGGGTGAGGAGGGCACCATGGTGGCTAGGAGATGTTAACCACCTCTCCGGGTATGCAGAGGGTCGCGGGTTCTATCCCGACCGTGACGCCTGCTGCTGTATATTTGGAGTTTGCGTGTCTCTCTCCCCGCGGTCGCGTGGAGTTTTTTCCGGGTCCTCCGGTTTTTTCCCTCCACATTTTACAATCAACGTCACCACGCGTTGAGAGTATTTGGCTGCTGTCAATTCCCATGCGACGACAAGCCACTTTCGCCGAGCCATCATTTGTGGTGGCCAGGATTGCTTCTGAAAAAGAGCTACATAGCTCAGTAGGGGCCTTACCTGGTGAAATAAAAAGTTTAGTTTAGTTAGTTTAGAGGTTTTGGAGAGGGGTGAGGAAGCTGAGACGTGTGTTTGAGGGCGAGGAGATGCGGGGAGGTGAGAGGCGAGGATGGGGGCGAGTGGTGAGGGGGCGGCGAGCGGTGAGGGGTTACCTCCACAGGTTTGCGCCGTAGAATGAAGAAGTTCTCCGCCCGCATCATCATGAAGCGCATGAACTTGTGGCACAAAATCTTCTCGATCTCATCGGCCTGGGGAGAGTGGCGGGGGGCGGGAGCAAGGTGCGTGTCAGGGCCCGCACGGGACACGGGGTGCGCATTTGAACGCGAGGCCAACGCGGGGGCCGGGTGCGTGCGCGCGAGCCCCCGAGCGGTACCTGCTTCACGGAGATGCTGATGCGCACGGAGTTGATGGAGCCCTCGATGAGGACCTTCTCCTTCTCGTTGCGGCTGATCATCACGGGCTGCAGCAGCAGCTCCTTGCCGCTCCTGCTCGGGGCAGCACGGGGACGGCGGCCGTTAACGCGCGCGAGGGTCCACGTGGTGCGGTTCGGCAAAGTGCCGTCACCCGCTTACGGTGAGATAAAACTCTCGCTCTGTCAGGGTGATTTCCTGCTCCTCAGATGAACATTGAGCCATTGGTGCTCATCTCTGCTTCACAGCCCTGAGCCACTGGTGGAAATTCCACATCCCGAAGTATGATGGGCCAAATCAACCTCCAACCAGGAGGTGAAACCTTGACGTGGAGCTGCTGTTTCTCCCCACTGAGCAACGTTGCCGGGCTTTCCCTGTATTCACCGTTGTGTGTTGTCTGTATTTCGGGAGCTGTGGGGTCTGACAGCCAGCACGAGGTCCGTTCACACAACGGTGCGAGTCTCCTCACTCCGCTCGCCACTTCTGACCACCAGCAGTATACATGTGTACACGACAGTTCGTCCATGATCAGAAGCTCTGCGGTGGCGAGATGTTACCGCTCTTGCCTGATATACAGGAGGTTGTGGGTTCGATCCAGGCCCTGAAGCCTGTGTATATTGATTTTGCATGTCTCTCTTCCTGTGGCTTTTTATCCGGGTCATCCAGTTTTTCCCTCTACATTTAGTATCAATAGGCGTTTTGATTATTTGGCTGCTATAAATTTCCACGTGAGAACCCACTTCGTTAAGCAATCATTTGTGGCCAGGTCACTTCGGAAAAAGATATAAATAGCTCAGTGGGCCTTCCTTGGTAAAATAAAACATAGGTTAAACAGTAGTTGAATAGTTTAACACGTAGGCTTTCGCGACCAATATTATGGAGCAGTTGCATAGTTATAAGTGCTGGCTCCCTGTGTTCTATGACTTCAGGAACGTGACCAGCATCTACGACTGAACAAGGCTAATCCACACGTCCTTCAACGGTGCAAGTTTATTGAATCTATCTGCGGTGCAACTCCAGAATGTACATGAGGACCCACATCTAATGGAGAGGGTCCCCTGTCTATAAACATCTGGCAGTTCACCAGCATTGGTTCAAGCATATTTGGAGACAATGAATTCTCAAAATGGCCCACAGTTGTTTCGCGTTGAACCAATTCCAACTGGATTAAAGCTCTCCCAGACGCGTGAAGGAGGTGGAACTATCTGCTTATTTGTTACTTTAATAGATATACAGTGGTGTGAACTTGGAATAATATTTATTTTAGCTTAATTCTAGATTTGAAGCTTTCGTGACTGCAAGGATTCATACTCTTAGGTTTTGTCGGTAAAGTCACGTAGGTAAAAATAATAATAAAAAATAATAATAATAAATGAAAATAACTAAATATAATCACGACGTTTCGGTGGAAACAAGTCTCCGTCTTCAGGTAGGACCATCACAGCCAAATTTACTGTATCAAGTTTTGATACAGTATTATTTTATTATAATATTTTACCTACGTGACTTTACCAAAAAAACCTAAGAGTATAATTTTAGCTTGTAACGCGCAACAGGCTTCCCGGGCTCTCGGGGGTCGCTGGGGGCGGGGACTGGCGGTGCGACGCTGCACGCTTCACCTGCGCCAAGCGCCACCGCTTGTTGCGGCGCTGGCGGCGGGCCCAAGTCGAAGTTATCACGAGCGCACGACCCGATCGTGTGACCGAGCGCCCCGGCAACAATGACAAGTCAGAGCACGCAGGCAACTCGCTCGACGACTCGCAGGCGCTCTCCGGCCATTCCCATTCCTGGCCAAGTCTCTTCCCCGTCTGGTGACGAGAGCCCCGGGTGAACGCGATCGTCCTCCCATGTTGGCAAACGATTTCTAATTTGGACGTAACCTCTCTTCCTTGACCCACTTTATCTTGCCGATTAAAAACCTCTGCCCGTCCCAACTCATCGTCAGTCGTGCTCAATCTACTGCCGGATGAAATCCTCTCAAGCCGTTGCTGCCTCTCACGATCCCGCAAAGACAATAAATCCATCCATCGTGTGCACACGAAAGGATTTCATCACTCCATCTCCTCGGTGGACGTTCCATCCCGGGGGAGCCACTCCGTCATTCACCGCTGTCCACCACCATTCTTTTTAGCCATGACACATCCTGCCCACATCCACTCACCCTTTATTAAGAGTTTGGATGACATCATTAACCTGCGTGTGTTCTCTAATCAATGTATTTATGAACTACATTCCAAAATAAGATATCCTGAATCGTGTTTATTTTGTATGTACCCATTCCCAGCGCCTATTTAATAATATGGATGTTCAAATTATATTTTTTACTTAGTTTAGCCACCTCAGTCTAGTTATTTCGGCATAGCCATCTCAGTCTGACCACCTCAGCATAGCCACCTGAGTACAGCCACTAAGATAGTCATCTCAGCATAGCCACATCAGTATAGGCAACGCAGGAAAGCCACCCGAGCATAGCCACCTCAGCATAGGCATCTCAATCTAGCCACCTCAGTGCAGGCATACCTCTTATAGCACTGCCTCTGACAACGTTGTTTAAATAAATTCATTGAACTCAGTGCTGCAGCTTCCAGTCCAGGTGGAAGAGGTAAGAAGAGCAGGTGGAGGGAGGGAGCATGAGGAAACCGCAGGGAGGCAGGAGGGAGCAAGAGGGAGCAAGAGGGAGGGAGCAGGAGGGAGGGAGCACGGGCGACCAGGAGGGAGGGAGCATGAGGAAACCCAGGGAGGGAGGGAGGAGGGAGCAAGAGGGAGGGAGGAGGAGCAGGAGGGAGCAGGAGAGAGGGAGCAGGAGGGAGCAGGAGCAGGGAGCAGGAGGGAGCATGAGAGGCAGCAGGAAGGAGGGAGCAAGAGGGAGGGAGCAGGAGGGACCACGTACCTCACTTCCACCTCGGGCTTGTTGTGCCGCTCCACGACTTGCGAGGAGAAGTTCTCCAGGCAGAGTGTGGCCTGTAGCGTGGCACGCACCGCATTCAGGTAGGGCCGCAGAGTCGCCGTCTGTACCACACACACGCACGCGTGCATCAAGGCGCACGCGCACACAGGCAGAAAGCGCTATTGTTGACTATTACGTAATTTTATTTTGGTCAGGACAGCCTCACTGAGACTCATGACTTTTTTTTACGAGGGTCCTCCCAAGTTTATTTCAGGTCTCAGCGAATGGTTTGTGTATACCGAGTAAATTGATGATCCGACACTCACCGATATGCTCCCATCACTCGCTCACCGACGTACAGTCGTTTCCTTATCACCCTTCTATAGCTATTATCATGGTCAATCTTCATATATATTTACCCTGTTAATTCTTCCTCCTATGTTGAGCGTTCATTCAACCAGCCTGTTACATCCCATCCATACTACGTTCAAACGCCACACTGCCGGTGGGGTGAGCAAAGCGTCGCTCTCCCTGTTGATATTGGGTGGAACCAACGGCTTAAAGTGGCTCCAAGATACGTAAACTCCGGGACCTCGTCGTGGTATTCATCACTGCTGCCACTCACCTCGACCACAGGGGCACCCACCCAATCAGCCAACCGAGTGGGGATGCGGTTAAGATGTGGACATATCACATCAGCCCCAACGCTTCGTAACGTCGCTTTTGCGTGGGCATTTAAAGAGGGCAGTTCAGCCGCTTATTAGGAAGTTAGAGAGGAGTTCCGTGTTTGTAAGGTCCTTGTGCTTCCCGTCTTAGACCCTCAAATCATTGGGGGTACCATCGGGAAAGTCATTTATCAGGTCTCTGCACAATCTGATAATTGACTGTGTCAAAACTGTATTGACTGCGCCTAGGGTTTGTATGCATATACTGTATGTTGAACTTATTTCGCACCGTACGTAGCCAACCACGCTAATCGAAGGTGCGGGGGAAGGATAACAAACTAAACAAAAAGCAGTAATAAATAAATTAGCTTTCAATGTAGATTGAAAAGTGCATAGCTCCAGTGGCTTCCTAATATCGGAAGACCATTCCAGACTGCTGAATAAGGGCATCCGAAAGCGCCGCACGATGCAGTGACCCCACCGTCTTTCTTCGATTTGTTATCCAAGGATGATTCTGGCACAGAGGTCGCAAACGGGTTTTGATTCCTTACTCGTACCCAGCCGCACCAGGGTCGCAAACGGGTACCCGTACCCGGCTGGGTACGGGTAGCTGGGTATCGGGTAGGGTACGGGTATCGGGTACTCGGTCGCGACCTCTGTTCTGGCGTTTGCGTGATGGTTCGTGCACTCCTTGACAAAGCCAGCAAGGTAATAACACTGCCTTATAAGGAATATGTATATATGTAGTAGGCAACGGGGAGAGGTGAGACGCTACCTGTGGCCTACGTGCGGTGCAGGGCCACTGCTTGACACGTCACCTACTGCTGTTTATTACTTCGAAGGCCACACTGTTTATTGACAAAAGTTTTTGCATTTTCAAAATACCGTCTCCTTTACACTACACACATGGACAGCCTCCTCGACGCGGCGTGCCGCACAGCACGGGTTATTTGACCATACTTCCCCCCCCCCCCACATTGCCGGTCAGTGCAGATTTAAAGGCAGGGGGAACGTGGGCACGTGCGCATCATAAGACGTACAATGCAACCATTGACTTGACCACTCAGCTGGCTCTCAGATGGTTTTAAACAAGTAGTGTATCGTGGAGTAGCGTGGGGGCCGGCGGCATGTCCTTGTGGCAATAGGCGTTCGCTGCTTGTTGCAGAGGTTGGTAGTTTTTAATGCAGCGGCCGCCCTGATTAATACTGCGGGTATAATAATAGCCGGAGCAGCATGCTTCACATTGGACGTTAAGGACCCCCACCAAACCACACCCCCTGATGCCAATCGTAAGCGTTAAATATCTAACGTGTACACATTTGACAAATTCCAAAATCGCCCACACATTACTCAAATGGGATTCAGCAATTTGCGGAAATCGTCAGACTAATGCCCCCGGGATAGCTCTTGCAAATGAGACTCATCTCACGCCTCTTGTTCACCTTCCCACCTGGTTACATCAAACTAACTTAAACTAAATGGGTTTGATGCGCCGTCCTCTGCAGATCGTGTCGCCCCCACAGGGCCACCCACAGCAGTAGCAGCAGCGGCTGTCTGTTACTCTTTGGTGGTCACCCATTCCACAGCACTGAACGCGTTAAAAAAGCGAAAATATTACATTCCCTGATAGCGGGCCGTGAGTCTATCACGTGGGAAACGCACTGTTGACGATACCCAAAGATTGCTTATGTTGTTTTATCGACCCCAGGAGGGATAACGGGCTGAATTGTATATCTGTCAAGCCATATTATGGTTTACTCGTATTCTTGTACAGGGAAATTTAGTTTAGGTCCATACGGCATAGCTGTTTCAATACTGGCAATATATATATATTTGCCTATTTGTGTGTTTATATCTTGTGATGGGACTTTGTAGGATAAACGTTGATATTTATAAGTGTGACCAATCAAGTCTGACATAGTCTGTAATAAGGGGTTGACAGGTATGGAATTGCAAGCACGACCCAACCAAACTCTAATCTCTCTCAGTTTCCGATGACGCAGTGGCGATGTGGCCAGAGGCAGCGACCACTCGGAACACCGACATCCGCTCCTGCACTGGAGACCCACAATCGCCGCCGCACGAATCACGCGCCGCCTCGGCTCGAGCGGCTACCCGGGACGATGTAGCGGGCACTTGATAACAGCGCCACTCTCGTAGTGCACTACACCACCACCACTGGTAGTGCACTACACCACCACCACTCTCGTAGTGCACTACACTATCACCACACTGGTAGTGCACTACACCACCACCACTGGAAGTGCACTACACCACCACCACCACCACCCTCGCAGTGCACACCACCACCACTGGAAGTGCACTACACCACCACCACTGGAAGTGCACTACACCACCACCACTGGTAGTGCACTACACCACCACAATGGAGTGCACTACACCACCACACTGGTAGTGCACTACACCACCACCACACTGGTAGTGCACTACACCACCACCACTCTCGTAGTGAACTACAGCACCACCACACGTAGTGCACTACACCACCACACTAGTAGTGCACTACACCACCACACTAGTAGTGCACTACACCACCACCACTCTCGTAGTGAACTACACCACCACCACTCTCGTAGTGAACTACAGCACCACCACACGTAATGCACTACACCACCACCACTGGTAGTGCACTACACCACCACACTGGTAGTGCACTACACCACCACCACACTGGTAGTGCACTACACCACCACCCTGGTAGTGCACTACACCACCACCACGGTAGTGCACTACACCACCACTCTCGTAGTGCACTACACCACCACCACTGGTAGTGCACTACACCATCAGAACTCTCGTAGTGCACTACACCACCACTGGTAGTGCACTACACCACCACCACTGGTAGTGCACTACACCACCACTCTAGTAGTGCACTACACCACCACCACCACTGGTAGTGCACTACACCACCACCACCACTGGTAGTGCACTACACCACCACTCTAGTAGTGCACTACACCACCACCACCACTGGTAGTGCACTACACCACCACTCTAGTAGTGCACTACACCACCACCACACTAGTAGTGCACTACACCACCACCACCACTGGTAGTGCACTACACCACCACTACTCTCGTAGTGAACGCAGCGGAACGCGGAAGCTAAAATCGCGGCCGCGCCCGCGCGCCGCTCCCACGGCTCCACGACTGCGGGGACGAGGCCGCGCAGTCCGCCAGTTCGCCACCGAGCCCCGCGCCACCGAGCCCCGGGCCGTGGCCGGTGGCCCTCGCAGCCCCGACCGGGGGCGATTTATCGCCCACGAAACGCACGAAACGACCCGAAGCGGCCCCGCCGCGCCCTCACCATGGCTGCGTTCCGTCTCCTCCCGTGCCGCGCGCTCACTGCGCATGCGCGCCCCGCCTGATTGATTGACCCCCCCCCCCCCCCACGAGGCACGGACCGAACCACTTTGCCCTGGCGCCGGGGGGGGGGTAGAATCCCTACAATTGTTTATATTCCTACAATTACCAACAATTGTTGCTGAATTCAGACATGTCTATCTGGTGGCTTCTGCTTTACTCTTGTAAATTAACTGTAAACCATGTAGTTGCACAGCGATGGCGTAAAATGAGAAATTATCTGTTTGTAATTAAAGCGGCACACTTTACTTTAGGCGCCCCCCCTATGCGTGTAATGGGGAACGCCGCGTATTTTAAAAACATACCCCGTATAAGGCGAAACCCGCCCCCATTCGCGAACGCTATTGGTCCAATCGCACCGCGTGACCGGCTGCACGACCCAACCGCGTATTTGAAAACGTAATACGGATTAACAAACCCCACCTTCGATTGGCTCAATGGGCGGCACGTGACACGCGGAGGCGGCTGCGATTGGCTGTGGCGCGCGCGGAAAGAAAGCGGCCGAGAGGCAGAGCGAGAGGGGACCGCGGGCAGTGGGGACTGCGGGCCGGGTGAGCGTGGGCCCTGGGTCCCTGTGAGTGTGGGCCCTGGGTCTCTGTGGCCACGGTGTGGAGTTGGGATCTGGGTGAGCGTGGGCCCTGGGTCCATGTGACCACCTTGTGGAGTTGGGATCTGGGTGAGCGTGGGCCCTGGGTCTCTGTGGCCACCTTGTGGGGTTGGGATCTGGGTGAGTGTGGTCCCTGGGTCTCTGTGACCTCCTTGTGGGGTTGGGATCTGGGTGAGCGTGGGCCCTGGGTCTCTGTGACCGCCTTGTGGAGTTGGGATCTGGGTGAGCGTGGGCCCTGGGTCTCTGTGGCCACCTTGTGGGGTTGGGATCTGGGTGAGTGTGGGCCCTGGGTCCCTGTGACCACCTTGTGGGGTTGGGATCTGGGTGAGCGTGGGCCCTGGGTCTCTGTGACCACCTTGTGGGGTTGGGATCTGGGTGAGTGTGGGCCCTGGGTCTCTGTGACCGCCTTGTGTGGTTGGGATCTGGGTGAGCGTGGGCCCTGGGTCTCTGTGACCTCCTTGTGGGGTTGGGATCTGGGTGAGCGTGGGCCCTGGGTCCCTGTGACCACAGTGTGGGGTTGGGATCTGGGTGAGCGTGGGCCCTGGGTCTCTGTGACCGCCTTGTGGAGTTGGGATCTGGGTGAGCGTGGGCCCTGGGTCCCTGTGACCTCCTTGTGGAGTTGGGATCTGGGTGAGCGTGGGCCCTGGGTCTCTGTGACCACAGTGTGGGGTTGGGATCTGGGTGAGCGTGGGCCCTGGGTCCCTGTGACCTCCTTGTGGAGTTGGGATCTGGGTGAGCGTGGGCCCTGGGTCCCTGTGACCGCCTTGTGTGGTTGGGATCTGGGTGAGCGTGGGCCCTGGGTCCCTGTGACCTCCTTGTGGAGTTGGGATCTGGGTGAGCGTGGGCCCTGGGTCTCTGTGACCACAGTGTGGGGTTGGGATCTGGGTGAGTGTGGGCCCTGGGTCCCTGTGACCGCAGTGTGGAGTTGGGATCTGGGTGAGTGTGGGCCCTGGGTCTCGGTGACCGCCTTGTGGAGTTGGGATCTGGGTGAGTGTGGGCCCTGGGTCCCTGTGACCACAGTGTGGGGTTGGGATCTGGGTGAGTGTGGGCCCTGGGTCTCTGTGACCACCTTGTGGAGTTGGGATCTGGGTGAGTGTGGACCCTGGGTCTCGGTGACCGCCTTTTGGGGTTGGGATCTGGGTGAGTGTGGACCCTGGGTCGGTGACCTCCTTGTGGGGTTGGGATCTGGGTGAGTGTGGGCCCTGGGTCCCTGTGACCACAGTGTGGGGTTGGGATCTGGGTGAGTGTGGGCCCTGGGTCTCTGTGACCACCTTGTGGAGTTGGGATCTGGGTGAGTGTGGACCCTGGGTCTCGGTGACCGCCTTGTGGGGTTGGGATCTGGGTGAGTGTGGACCCTGGGTCTCGGTGACCTCCTTGTGGGGTTGGGGTCTGGGTGAGCGTGGGCCCTGGGTCTCTGTGACCGCCTTGTGGGGTTGGGATCCCAGTGAGCAGGATCTGGACTTGGGGAGCCGTGCTGTGGTGTGTGAACTGAGCGAGTTTTCTGAGACTTGTGAGTGTTGTGCTGTGTGGTGGGAACCGGTGTTTAAGTGCGCCGTCTGGGCGTCTGTCTAAAAAAAAAAGCTTCGTAGCTCATCGGATTCCTCCAGTACGGTATAAAGATCCTGTGTGTGTGGTGTCTCTTGAAGGCGTACGTGGGGGGCGGGGAGCCGCGGTCGCCATGAGCGAGCTCAAGGAGTGCCCGCTGGAGTTCCACGATTTCCGCGCCGTGGAGCACACGCGGCAGTGCCCGCGCTACACGGCCGTGCTGAGCCGCCCGGCCGAGGACGGCGTGGGCCCCGAGGAGCTGGACACGCTGCAGCTCGAGCTCGAGACTCTGCTGGCAGCGGCGTCGCGCCGCCTGCGCAACCTCGAGACGGAGATCCAGGTGTGGTGGTGGTGGGGTTGAGGGTGGTCGGTGGTGGTGGAGGTGTTGGGGTAGAACCGGGCTGGGGAGCGAGAGATGGGATGAGTGGAGGAGGAGGAGATCCCAGGTGAGGAGAGAGTGGAGGGGTGAGCGGAGAGATGGGATGAGCGGAGGAGAGATCCAGGCGAGGAGAGGGTTGAGAGTGCAGGGGTCAGAAGAGAAGAAATCCAGGAGTGGGACAGGATAAGTGAAGGAAGAGATCCCAAGTAAGGAGAGAGAGTGGAGGAGTGAGGGGAGGGACCAACAGACTGAGACCCCGGTGAATAAAGGGTGAGCAGAGACATGGGGTGAGCAGACGAGAGATGCAAGTGAGGAGAGTGGTGTGACACAGATGAGGGGATGGTGATGAGTGAGCTGGTGGTCCTAATGAGGTGCAGGGAGAGACCCAGGTGATGAGGGGTCGCGAGGCGCGGCTGGTTAAGGGGATCTTTCAGTCGTGTTTTGAGCCACGAATGCATTTGCATACCTGTCAACTCATACGGTTTACCTGTATTCTTGTACAGGGAGGTTTCAGGTCCATACGGCGTACAGCCGTTTCAATACAGGCATTTTTTTTGGTCTATTTGTTTGTGTATCTCCCTTGTGGTGAGACTTTGTAGGATGAACGTTGAGATTTATAAGGGCATGGGGTGACCAATAAAGTCTAAATTGGTCTGTGATGAGGTAGGCACTCATAAGGGGTTTAAAGGTATGGCACCATGACCATGACCCCTCCCTTGCCCCCCCCCCCTCTGTTGTGGTGCCGCACAGATCCTGACCGACTGGCAGGATCGTAAGGGCGATAAGAAGTTCACGAAGGCGGCCGAGCACGTGGCATCCTCCACAGGCAAGCACGGAGGCAGCAAACCCAAGAAACAGAAGCCGGACAGCAAGGGGAGCCATGGGTGAGTGCTTGCGGGGGACCTTACTACCAGCCAGTCTTCGAAACTACACACAATAATCATACCTGTCAACCCATACCGTTTACCCGTATTCTTGTACAGGGAAATTTAGTTTTGAGTTCCATATGGCGTACAGCCGTTTCAATACGGACAAAAAAGTGTCTTCGTTTGTGTTTCTCCCTTGTAATGGGACTTTGTGGGATGAACGTTGAGATTTATAAGGCCACGAGTTGACCAATAAGTTATGAATTGGTCTAATAAGGTAGGCACTGATAAGGGGTTGACGCCATCTCACTTGCGCGCGCGTCTCCTACCAAACGCGACTTCATGGGCGCGGTGGGTGACCCCGCTTGTGTTTGCACGGAGACGTTTATCACGAGCAGAAAATGTAAAAGATCTGAAAACCCCAAAAGAGGTGTGAAATTGTCCTTAAATATCCCAAAATCCTAAATGTTTTCATCCACAACTCATCCCTAGACTTTCTTGATGTTTCTGACCCAGGTTTCTCTTGACAACGTCTCAATGCCTCTCGTGTACACGTACAGTCTGTTGTCCCGTTAAGCGTGTTGTTATCATAACGATAATTGGATATAACGCCATGAATATAAGGAACATATGTTTTGTTATGCCGCGGATGTGAATTGGATATAACATGAAAGAGAGAATGGAACTACGTCGCGCGAGTAGGAATAAGCAGCTGTACGGCTGCTTCGTCGTAGCGTGACCACACAAGGCATTTGGATGCTTCTAGATGCTACCCACGCGCCTCAATCTTTGTTTGGCCTGCATACGCATCTCACGTGTTATTGTGTACTGCTTTACGCCCTCTATTATATATTAATTATTATAATGCGATTTCCCATAACGCGGTGGTTCTTCAGGAACGGAATTACTGTGTTATAGGAGAACAGGACTGTCCAGCCCTTTTCCCACTGCTAGCTGAGGGGCCTCCTCACTCCACACGGGTTTTGTGGCGGGAATTTGACCATACTTCACCATGCTGGCCAGTGCTGTTTGGTGAAGGCGCAGGGGAGCATCGTAGAAGTTTGGTACAACAATCGGCTTTCTTATCTTCCCCTCTTTTCGGTGGCTCATGCCTGGTTTTAACATCATCTGCATTTATCTGAATGAATCATCTACCCGTCAAATTCCTCCGAACGCTGCTTGGGCCAGAGATGGCTGCAAAAAATCTCATTCAAAGTTAGACCAGAACTTGGCCCGGCACGTGCTCGCGCGTCAGACAAAATACGGCCCCTTCAAAGTTGTTGTTTTTCATTCAACAACGCGAGGATGGTTTTTTGGAGACACAAAGTCACCTGAAATATGGGACGAGCCTGGCTCAACCTCTGGCTCCCCTCGGGAGGTTCGGCCTTCCGTCGTTTGCTGACGCTAAAGTGACCGGTGGTGGGGGGCGGCGTGGTGCCGGTAGCGATGCCGAGACCGTCGGTGCGGGTCGCAGGCACGGCTCGGCGGGGACGGGGGGCGCCCACGGGGCGGGGGCAGGCGGTGGGGGCCATGGGCCTGGGCGGCCCAAGACCAAGAACCTCCAGCCCAAGTTCCAGGAGTACGAGTTCCCAGACGACG